CTAGCCTAATACCCCCCTCCCAAAAAAAGATAGACTTACAACTAAAAAAACCCAGAAGAAATAAAAAAGACCCTTAATTCTAATCTAGAGAATAAGGTAGTTTTTAGTTATTACAATATAAGCCATATATATATATATATATATATATATATATATATTATCCCAGGCATTTAAAAGGAAAAGGATACATACTTTTTAAAATGAATACAAGTAAATACTTTACCTCTCTATGAGAAATTGGAATAGAATTCTTAAACATAAATATGTACTTAAAATTTTTTACGTTTCAAATAAAACCAATATAAGAAAAATTATGCATACAGTAGACTTTAAGATTTATTCCTTGAAAATGAATAAAATCAATAACTTGACTCTAAATATACATCTTCTAAGTTGCTTTTGGGTTAAATTTTTCCCACGAGTCAAACGGCTTTCACCAATCAATACTCAGGGCTACTTCTTTGTTTCACACTGAGGAAGTTGTAACATGAATCTTTGAGTTGACTATAAGGAAGAAATTTTCTGTATTTCATATGAGTAAAATATCAACTAAGAATTAAACACAGATCTTAAGTCCTTAGGATGGAGCTGAGGATGAAAAACAGTTAAGAAGATGAAGCATGGACTTTGAGGAAGTTCTCTGACAAAGAGAGGAGAGATCAAAATGGGACTTTAGAAATATTTACTGATATGGGAGCATGTGGATATTGACACTTATGACTTCTAATACAATATCTACTCAGCACAATTCATGGTACCTTGTAAAAAAGGGATTAGCTAAGACTCATGCAGAATTTACTGTGAACTTAAATATGAATGACCAAGACTGATAAACCAGTTTAATGCATAAAACGACAAGTCAATCTATAATGGATAATAAAACATATGTCAAAGTCACATTGAAGATATAGAGTGGTCCTCTGATTTGGTGACTAGACAATGATCTAGAAGAAACTCCACTCAGACCCAGAGATCTGCTAGAAGCAGGATGATCTGTTAAAGTAGCAGAGAAAAGCAAACAGCTATCACTGAAAAGATGAGTGGAGCAGGAGGTATCGAGTGTCAAATATACTTGATCATATAACAGTCATCGTTGGTATGAGAAGTAGAACTGTGAAGTCTTAGAGCTGAATTGTCCAAAGTGAAAGTCTATCTGGGATGTTGAAAAGACAGCAAATAAATGAGACCTGAACAATACACCATGGAGGCAAAATTGTCAACAAACTGAAGAAGCTTGATGCACAAAAAGAAGGGTATAGGGAGTAAATTTGCTTGATGAACATAAACTATAGACAGGAAATACAAGGCATTGTGTTCAGAGATGAATGTGAGACCACAAG